TGGGAGCGAGGTAGGATGGCCTCTTTCTTGTATTTAAAAAGAGGTTACAGTGGTCCCTGTGATTTTACTCCAGTTAGCAAGCTGCCCTCAGTAACTCTCTGAGAGGTTACAGCTGGTTTTGTCCCTTAGCACTGCGGTCCCAGTAAGGACATGCTGGCAGTCACAGTGTGCATGAAGTATGCTCAGGTGGACATAATTTAGCAGAAAGATTTGTCAGTCCTCAACCCCCAGCTCTCAGTCAGATTTCCCCTGCTCACAGAGAGGGGTGATGGTATTTGGGGAGCGGGAGAGCAGCACGGCGCAGCCGCCTGCCTTGCTGTGAGCGACGGGGCCGGTCCCCTCTTCTTAGAAAAAATCATCCCTCATCTTTATTTAAGATATGAGGTGGTGTAGTGTAAGGATGGAGTAGGGAATGTGCATGTGAGTGTGTGTCCGTACGAGCCCGCGGAGCTGTGAATATTCAGCATCCATCTGGACGGTCTGTAGGAAAATTCCCTGGTCCTCTCAGGCCGCAGGGTGAAGGTAGTGGTGAGATTTGCTTGAAAAAGGAGAAATACATTTTTTTCAGGACTTGCCCAAGTGCTAATAAAACCTGCGTCTTTGGGCCGCTCCCACCGACTGAGGGCTTGACTCCACGGCGAGCCGAAAGCTCGCAGGGCGAGCTCACGACAGACGGTTTGGCAGATCCGCCCCGTCCTTGTCACCGCCTGGCCCTCGCGAGCTCCACGCGCTGCCTTTCCGCGGGACGGGGTGCAACGGGTGCCGGAGCCCAGGCTCCGGGACGTGACCTTAAAGCTGGAGTAATGGAAGGAGTCGCAACGACTGAACGTAAACGGAGAGCGATTCCTGCAGGACCTGGCTTTCGACCGCCCGAAGTGGAGGAGGCGAGAGCTGTCGGGGAAGCTGGAGCTGGAAGGGCCCGCGGGTAATTGCGTGGATCGACAGGGAGGAAAGAGCAGCAAAGAGGCCAAAGGGTTTTAGAGAAGGTTCCTGTGGCTGGCGTTGACTCGCTTCGTTTTAGAGGCGACTTGCTTAGAGGAGTTTTCTTTGACGGGATGGATTCCTGCGCTGTGGGTGTAAGGGTCTGAGAAAGGGAAGGAGAATCTGGCCCCAACGTTGCAAGAGCCAAAGCAAGTAGAACAAAAGCGCTTTTGAAAGCGGGGAGCTTGGCTCCGGGGGATATGACAGGACAGCAGAATTCAGCTGGCGAAGACCAGTACCAGCACTGGGAGGAACCGGGGTTCTCCACAGGAACTGAAAAGTGTCCTGCAAAGACTCAAAACCTGAAGTTAGGTTTCCAGGTGCATGGTTGAGTTGCTCGCGTAAGAGTTGGGTACACGCCGGGACGTGGGGATGAGGCATCGCAGGAGCAATCCTAGATGAGATTATTACCGTCTTCCTTCCTCTCTTCCTTGGGTTTATCCCTGCTTTCAGTCTCACAACTTTGCATTATATGGGGTTAAAGTCATTTTGGAGACCGAGTGGTTAAAGCTGGTCAGGGTCTACGTGGGCAGAGGTAGCGGAAGGGTTTTGACCGACCTTTGCTGTGTCCCTGGGGTCACAGAATCACAGAATCACAGAATCACAGAATAGTAGGGGTTGGAAGGGACCTCTG